TTCTTTAATATTTCCAAATGATTTCCTGGTTTCAGTTTGGTGTTCAGTGTCTTCTCTTTTTAATCTCCCTCCTTAAAAACGGTTTGCAAGCACATGTCCCCATCATGACTCTTCTTTCCATCAGCAGAGCCCAGGACCACAATACAGGAAGTCTAGGCCAGCTCTCTCTTTAAAAACTCTGATCCTGTGAGTATGACCCAGAAGGCAATGCAGAGTTCAGATGGAGCCTACATGAGTGAGGGAGTCTCCCACTTCTGTTCCCACTTCACCTTTGCAGGCCCAGCCTCTATAAGCCACATTCATGACAGCCCTCTAGATTGGTGCACTTGTTGTACCAGGGTTAATTTTAGGGGCCTCAGGGCTCTGTTAAATTTAAAGGGTTGAACTATAAGAGCTATTTACTCTAAAATGGGTTAATACTCAAATGATAATAACAGTCACAAAATAACTAATTAACCTACTCTAACGCTGACTTCGATCTCATCTCGGGGAGGAGAGAGGTTGGAGTAGAGACTGAGCACGCCCTGGCCACCGTCGCCTTCATCTCTGTGTCCCGTGCTGAGGAAAATAATCTAACAAGAAGGCAGGATTCCCTGAAAATTCGATCCTTCGGGAATACAGCAGGACTATAAATCTGCTCACAGTTGGGAAAAGCTGCAAGAAGCTGGAAACATGTAGATCCGTTCCAAACGATTCTCATGTTTCCTAATTTTTCTGATCTCGTAATCTAGGGCGTGTTGGGTGCCCCGAGCGTAATATATTGACGATTTGTCATCTAGCATGAAATGTTACGCTTTGGGAGTGAGAACGTGTTGACCAATAATGTCTCTGCCAAGTGCTTAGGCTCCACCCGCCTCTTCTCTCACTGTCTAGACATCCAATAACGTTGTAAAGTCATGTGATGTGCAGCCACACCCTGTCATTCTTTTCCCCACATACTTGATTTTAAAACGGAGTTTAAACTTTGCCATCCCTATGAAAGGTCAAAGTTGAATCACGTCTCCAGACACAAAATCGAGACATCTATGATGTTAGAGGAGCATGAGCTCAGACTCGGTGCCATGTCCCCCAGCTCGTCCCGCGTTGCTGCAGGGGGTCTTAGCATAGTCCCAGGGTGGTGGCATTTCCCTGACCTTGTCCTCCATCCCTGGTCTTCAATGCTGCTGCATGTCCGCTCCATCTCCTTGGAAACAGGAATCCATGGCCCAGTAATACACATGGTCTATCCGTCTCCTGCATGCTGTGGTTTCAGGTGCAGTCAGGGTACCTGCAGCAGTTAAAGTCCAGATCACCCTGGCATTCAACCACAACTCAGAGAAAGCAGCTCCTGGCTCTGTCATCCCTCCAACAAAAGATGCTCCAAAGTGATATATGTAGCAGTCAGGGCAGCTGGTAGCGAGAGCCTTCATACCACACGGTGTACAGCGCGCCTCCAAGGGAAGCATGGTCATCAGGGTCGATCTGGTCTGAGTGCCGTTCTCTCTTTCTGTCTCCCCTTTTTTAATTCTCTGTTACGAAGGTCACTTCCTCTGCCCCGCCTCCATCTGTGCCCCTTATCAGAGAGGCTGCTCCTCCCTTTTTTTCATTACTGATGCTAATCTATGGCAACATAATCATTCTCATTCGGATGTACCACACACCTCTGCAGCTCTTGCTTTTATCGGTGCTTCGAGTTTTCGCCCGTCCTGTCACGTTCAGCTCACATCTTTCTGCGATGTTTTGCTAATAGTTTCACATTTTCATCATCCTAACGAGTTTAGATGAGTTTTTAAGCTCTGACCCTGTTTGACACATTTGTCTTTTTAGTTCCTCTGTCTGTCCGCAACTATTCACTTGTTTCATTGTACAAACGATATAAAAGGCATGATGAGAATCTGAAAGAATCAGGGTGTGTGGGGCTAACAGGAGGCTCTGAATGATTGTGGGACTGATCAAAGTCAAATCTGATGTTCTGGAGAACAAACATCTTTTATTTGTTGGTTTATTTGACTATAACTATTAAATATTGCATAATTGGGTTTCATTGTTGAGTTACCGCTTTGATTTAATGTGATTCTGTCTCCCTTCCTGTTCTGTTTGTAGTGTGAATTGTGGAAAGTTTGTCCACCCTGAGAAACCTGTAGAGGCTGTCACCAGGTAATGAGCCCTCATGTCAGTGGACGAGCTGCTTTGGCTTCAGCTTCTCTTTCAGCCTTGTTGCTTTAAAACCTTTTGCTGCTACTTCAGAGCACATGTTAAACGCTCAATAACAGCTTAGGCTATGCTCAGCACGTTCCTGTTGTACAGTGAACTATGCGTGTAAATCACCAGCAAATCATTTTTTTTTCAGAGGAGCAAAATTCAATAGTTAATGTATCATTTTTGTTGTAATAAACTGAATTTGGATTTTATGAATTGTAGCTTTCTTTACTTTGATGCTAGCTTATATTTGTTAGTGTTAACATTAACGCTAACACTAGCTGACTGACTACACCAGAGGACAGCCAAGCTTTAGGAACTAAATACATCCTAAGCTCTTAACATGATGGATTCTTTGTTAGTGAAGCACGATTGTTTGGGATAACCTTCTTCATGGGTTATTTCGTGGTTTGTGTGATGGACCGAGGTGAAAAGCAGGAGGAGTCCCATAAATATTAAAAGAGGGTTTTATTTAACCCAAAGAGTGATATTTACAAAAAGGATAAATGTCGAGCACTGAGGACTGAACTCAGGCAAACAAAATGTGGACTCGACAAACCAACAAGGGCTTATATAATGGCTGATCAGACCACTATGACTCAACACAGTCACAACCAGTACAATCCAGTTTGTTAGTCAACTAAACACCAAAGAAGAAAATCAAAAAACACTAGACTCTGAATTCAAATACTGAGTTAAATACAAAAGCTTGTTTAAATAAAGAAAATGCCCCCCCGCAGGAAGTGGTGGAGCCCTTTATGTATTGAAGTGCTCTAAGCCTGTGGTCTGGCAGCTCCCAGGGATCATGGCAGGTAAAAGAAACGAGGGTTAGTCCCAATCACAAACCAGTTGCCCCGTGGCTCCGGCTGCTACGAGCAGCTCCTCCTGCGTAACTGTCTTATGTTGCATCCTTTATTGCAATCTGCACATCAGAAATCTTGTAATAAGTATTTGTAGGTTATGTATCTCTTTTTGCAAGCTGAGACTTATTTGCATCTCAGTGTCCTGCAGACCTTTCATTGGTCAAAGCTTTGTAACTTTGTGAGAAATAAGCATTAACACATTTATAAGTATCTCATTTCATAATCTGTATACATTTAAATACACTGTTCATCATTTACTTTGACTTTTTAAATGATAAACAGGTCCTAATAACTTTTACTTGATGGAATACTTTTAGAAATTGTTAAAACTTACATAAAATATTAAAAAAAGATTTTGATATAATATATAGATAATATTTATATTATATAAATACATTTAAAAATTATAATGACAGACTAACAATTTTGTCATTAAACATGTTATATGTGGGCTTATAATCAAGACTAAAGCATTTATATTCATGTTTGTAAATGATGTACTATGGAGGACTAACACTGACTAATGCCTTACTAATGCTTAATACTGTGTAGTTATTATAAGTCACTTTCATCTGTGTACAGTGTGCACATCCTTCAAAGTGTGCCACAGTCTGCCTTCTGTGCTGGATAATTGGCTGTAGTTCTGACCAACTGTCAGACATTCGTACCTTCGTCCTAACAAAAAAACAGCATAAAGTTTTGGATTTACAAGGAAAAAAGATTTAAAAAAGACACAAAAGATAAGGATTTGTCAAACGTGTGCCCATAAGAGCCTTTAAAAAATTCTTCATACAAACAAATTGCCGGGCAAAATGGAGCAGGACAGGTCGCGTTGAAACCAGAGTCAGCAGGTTGTCAAAGCAGCCAATG